CACTTTCTGAATCGATTAAGACATGATCGCCTATCTCACCGTCTGGCTGCTGTTTTGTAAACCTTGTGTGCAAGGTAAGGTCCTCAATTTTCAAGATACATATTTTGATTAAATATGGATCATACGTGGTTAAAATCGGTCCATTATTTCACTTAGCTCACATACAAACCGGACCCTCGCATTCGAGGACTACGACAAATATACTAGTATCGCATAAGAAATCGGTGCAACTTTGTTTTATAAAGGCATAAATGACATTGCCGTTTTTTGTACTGATCGGTCCTCAATAAACCCTAACCCCTATACCAACTCCCGTTTATGCCTTATATAAAACTAAAATCCTCCTCCAAATCAGCCCATATTTGAGCCCAACTCCCTTTTTTATAAAATAAGTTTTTCATCAATAATTTCTTTAGATAAAACCAAAAAACTCACCTCAAATAGATCCCATTTCCAAAATTCCTCCTTTTTCTTTTCGATATATTTCGCCTTACACCCAAATTCATAGCGAACAATAAATGCATCCTTAATATTCACCACATCATTGAACCATTCCTAAATGTCACCTCTATATGAGTGTTTGTGAGTGAGATTCCTTCTCATTGAGAGTACAATTCTGATGAACATCATCGTAGTGCATTTTGGGTGGGCAACAGAATGTTATGCATGGTTTTCAGCAGACAGGCACAACCTCTTATATGCCTCGGAGCATCATATTCTATGCCATCGATAACTTTGTAAGTGGTATTCTGCCGTCAGATTGGACGGTATGACTAGACCCTCAAATGAATAAGAGCCGTCTTTTAAGCGCAAACCATCGGTTATGTTAACGGTTTGCGCATAAGAGCAGGGATAAGAGCGGGCAGTGACTGAGGTGGGCAAATGCTGTATAAACAAAACAAATGCAAATAACAATGACAATAACCAAAGCTGATCTAATGATGAAGATGACGATGTTGAATGTTTAATCATCGCTGTGGAATTGAAGAAAAAAAATAATATATAGAGTTTAAAATAGAAATCGCGCAAGAGAAGTAAAGAGAGTGAGAGAAGGTAATATACATTTGTAGATCAGGTAGTAAGAATAAACAAACATTTTATTCATATTTTTATACCCACCATCAAAAAAGATGGGGGTATATTGATTTTGTCATTCCGTTTGTAACACATGGAAATATTGGTCATAGACCCACAAAAGTATATATATTCTGGGTCCTCATTAAATTCTAAGACGATCTAGCCATGTCTGTCCGTCCGTCTGTCTGTCTGTCTGTTGAAATCACGATAGAGTCCCAATGGAAAGAGCTAGAGGGTTGAAATTTCACATAAATATTTCTTACAGATAAGTTTTGTTTAGTATTGAAAATGGGCAATATCGGTCCACGTTTTCTGATGGCCATTCGAAAAGCAGCTTTAACAGCCATAACTTGTTTAAAAATACGAATATAGCGATATAATTCGACATAAGTAAGTTTCTTATGATCCAAAATCACTATGCAAAATTTTATGAGGATCGGTCCATAATTGACCCTACCCCCTATATAAGGTCCCCTTCAGAAAATGACTTTAACGCTCATTACTGGCTTAAAAATACTAGTATATAGATGAAATTCGACATAAGTAAGTTTCATACGAGTCAAAATCTATCTAAAAAATTTTATGAGAATCGGTCCATGATTGACCCTATCCCCCATATAAGGTCCCATTTAGAAAATGACTGCAACGCTCATTAATGGCTTAAAAATACGAGTGTAGCGATGAAATTCGACACAAATAAATTTAATACGAACCAAATTCTGTCTACCAAATTTTATGAGGATCGACCCATAATTGACCCTATCCCCCTATATAAGGTCCCCTTCAGAAAATTACTTTAACGCTTATACTGGCCTAAAAATACGAGTATATAGATGAAATTCGACATAAGTAAGTTTCATTCGAGTCAAACGATGTTTGATGCTGGGTATATAAGATTCGGCATAGCCGCATATAACACTCTTACTTGTTAATATTAAATGAAAGTTTTGTTAAATAAAAATGTGCTCTCTTAAAGAGTGAGAGAGTGAGTCCAAATAAATGAAACAAATCAAATACATTTACTTACCGATCAATCAAATAGCCAAGTTTATTAAGTTTGTTATTATTATTATTTTTCTAATAATTTTATTTTTCTATTAAAATATAATTTCGCTTTTTAAGATTTTTATTAAATTTAAATGATTTTAACACCTCGCAAATTTACGTGGATTTTTTTGAATATCGTGCCAGCAAATATTTATTTAAAACGTTTTTTTTTTTACTTTTTTTAGATTATTAAAAATTTAGTTTAAACATTGTTGTTGGCCACCATAGCTGTTGTTATTGTTAATTCAACTACCACATGATCATTGACCATAGATCATAGAGCAATCACCGTTTTGTTTTTTTGTTATTTTAGTTTATTTATTATTTGGTCATTATTTTAACTTTGTGTTGTTGTGCATCATTGAATGTGTTTTATATCTTTAATTTGGTCATAAAACATTCTCCAAGTTTGTTGAATTTGTTCTTAATTCTATTTATGTTTCTTTTTTTTTTTAAATTTGTTTATTTCTTTTTATATATATTTAGTCAGATACTCTATGTATATGGTTTTTTTATTAACTTAGTTGCACACTAATGATCGATCGTCATAGGTCTCAGTTGTGGAGAAACGCGTATAAGACGTCTTGTTTGTGCCAACGTTAAATAGAAACTGTTTGTGGTCTCTCAGTGTTTAGACACCTTTTACCCACTGAGGAATGAGTACTTACTAGTCATACATAGATAATGTTCGTTTGTGTGTTTCTGTCTCTAGAAAACATTTGTTTTTTCTAATTGTTAGAAAAGTTTAGCTGTGAAGCTTTTTTTATCTTGGTCTAGTGTGAGGGTAAATGCTTAGCAAAGTTCAAAACCCTAGAGATGGTAGTAAAAGCTGATTTTATATGTTCTATAAAGCGTTAAATTTAAAAGTTTTTCGATGTATTGGCCACTTTTTTTCAATCTTATTCAGAACTTCCGTCTAGTTTTTTATCAACATTTGATTGTTAGTTCAACAATTTTACATTTCAAAATTGCCCAGGAGCTCTACTGTGGCGGCCGCTGTGCTTAAACATGAAATATTAAAGTAAAATGGACCGAGCAAAAAAGGTCCGTTTTTTGCCGATAATATTAAATTTTCTCGAGCCTGCCGTATATTTTGTTTGAAATAAAAAACAGATTGCAATGAACAATTTATGAGATTAGAGATCTTAATTATTGGATTGACAATTTTTGGGGTTTCAAGTCCACTTTAAAGAAATAAAAAACAGATTGCAATGAACAATTTAAGAGATTAGAGATCTTAATTATTGGATTGACAATTTTTGGGGTTTCAAGTCCACTTTAAAGAGTAACACTAATAAATTTATGTTTAACGATTAAACATGGCAATGACTTGTACCTACCGAAAAACTTACTTTTCAATGATTACTACATAATGTCTGTATTACTTAGAAGGAGTCTAGTAATGACTTACAAATAACTATATACATAAGTTAGTACTTAGTTTCTATACCCACCATAAAGTATACCAATCGGTATCGTCATGGACGGACGGACAGACGGATGGACGGACATATCTAAATCGACTCGAAAATGATTCTAAGTCCATTGGTATTCTTTAAGGTGGGTACAGCAACAATATTATTGTACGTTACAAACATCAGCATAAACCCAATATATCCTCCCCACTAAAGTGGTGTAGGGTATAAAAAATTTCAAAAGGTATAGCATAAAAAAGTTTTCATTAAAAAACAAGTAGAAAAGTATAGTGGGGTGGCATGGCCGACCATATGATACCCTACACCACTGAGTATGTTAAAAATGTGGATTATATTTAATAACAAAGTTGTTTATCTTAATTCCGAAATATTTTAGCAATTTGTTGAAAAAGTGATTTTCTGTAAGAGAGGTTATATGGGGGCAAGGGTAAATATGGGTCTATCCTTAGAAATTTTGCTACATGGCTTTACGTTTACATTAGAGTTATGTATGCTGAATTTCATCGTGATACTAGTGTTTATTAGTGAATTATTGACCTTCAAGTCATTTTCTGAAGGGGACTTTGTATGGGGGCTAGGGTCAAATTAAGTCCGATAATTATGAAAATTGGTAGTATTATTAAGACGTAATAGAACTAAGTTTTGCCGATTTTTGTAGAGATATTTAACATAATTATGAACTCAAAAGCCCTTTCCGGGGGGTATGGTTGTATGGAGGCTAGCTGAAATAATGGACCGATTTCAACCATTTTCAATAGGCTTCGTTGAAAAACACGTATGGTCCAAATTTCATCAAAATATCTTGAAAATTGCGACCTGTACTGTGCGCACAAGGTTCACATGGACAGCCAGCCAGCCGGATGGACAGTGATTCCGAGTCGATCGGTATACTTCAAGGTGAGTGCAGAACCAATATTTTTGTGCGTTACAAACATCAGCACAAACGTATAATACCCACCCCACTATGGTGGTGTAGGGTATAAAAACTACACAGTTTTTAAATAGTTTATTTGGTGTGGAACATTAAACAACAATTCAAATTCATACTTAAGTTCTTTGGTTTTATTTACAACAATATTTTTTTTAAATATACTATATTTTTTGTGGAAAATATACAAATATTTAAACATTATTAAAGCGACTAAAATTAAAGCTTAAAATTTATTAAAAATAAAAAAAAAGAAACAACTAAAATAAAGTTAGAACTAAAGTTAATAGATACAAAATAATAATAAAAATTAAAAAGTTTTATACGATGAGTACATATTGAATATTGAGAATCTATTTATTCCCTTAATAAGGAATTATGATTTTTTTTTTTCAAATAAAACTTTGTCTTAATTGAAAGTAAATAAAAATTTTTCTAACTTGAGGAATGATAATTAGAAGACAATTAACAAATCATTCTTTTAAGTAACAAACTAAAAAAAATCGCTATAGAGAGAAAAAAAAGCTTTGATACTCTCACTAATGAATATCCTTATAGTTTTTGTCTTTTTCTTTTTGTTTCAATTCATTCTTAGCATAATTTTTATGGTAAAACGACTTAGATAAACATTCGATATACACTTTTCTTTTAAATATATAGTTTATATATTAATTTAAATAAAATTTAAGAAATATATTCATAGACCACTTAAGACTGTAGTACTTTCGAGAGGTTTGATCAGGGGTTTATCTGCTGAAATTTTTGAATTCGGCAATGCTATACTTCCCACACTGCTGCAAGTGGTTTTAGTGGAGGAATGACTTTGGCGCTGATTACTGCTATCACGTACCGAATATCTAAAGGGGAAGAATAATGGAGTAAAAAAGAAAAAGTTGGGTATTAAAACGGTGTTTAGAGTTCAAGTATAAAACACACAGATTATAAAAAACATGCAAAAGTAATTAAGTTAAAATAACACAAATTTTGGTTAGAATACAATTTTATTACACTAGCTAAATAGTTATGTTTCAGACAAGAGAAATTCACAGTTATCACGCCAAAAGTAATCTTTAGAAATTTAGCAAACTGTGAATCCCCTTATTCGAAATGTTTGGGTTACTTACAATATGTTAAGAAAAATTATTATTAGTTTTTTTTTCAAGAGGGTGCTTTTTTGTTTGTAAATGATTGGTGTCTTAAATATTTAGAACCAGTTCCCATTCCTTAAAAAACGTTTATTTTTACCTTTTATGAATCGTTTTAAAATCTTAATTTCTCTTTCATGGGCAAGGTATCAACTTTAGTTTTTTGCGTCGTCATAGAGGAATTTATGGAATTTGTAGAATTTGTTGAGTTGGTTTGACTTGTTCCATTACTTTTCGACGTTTTGAACATTCTTATGAAGATATTTAGATAATATGAAAGACTTTTAGAGAATAAGTATTAGTACATAGAGATCAGTATTAGGCCAGGAAATGTTAAGCATTAAGTTTAGAAGACTATTAGTTTTGATTGTGTTAAATGCAAGGCATTAGTAAGAATTTTTTGTAATTATTTCGATTTTAGTTTGGGATTATATTGTGGATTTTATGGCTTAATAAATTTCTGATTAGTTCTTCGTACAGAGACATTATTTAAAATTTAAGTTCGCGTTAGTTATTTTGAAATATTAAGCGGGAATATGAATGCGTAATTGATCATATAAGAAAACCCGGATAAAATCTATCAGTCCACTTTCTTATGCTACCAATTAAAAGCTTTAGCTTACTGATCCATTAATATATTTATTTTTCTTCGACAAAGACAACATCTATAGTCGAATTCAAACTTAGTTTTAAGATCCACCAATTAATTGTCTTGCTCTTGCAAGAAATTTAAATTGACAAACCTATTTCATATTATGATGATCGTACTGGGCCTTCAAATATGTTATGGTATAGGGGCTTAAGCATTTTAAAGTACTGTCTAAGAAGGACTCTCCTCCTAACTTCTGGTGCCTCTGGCATAAGGATATATATTAGTATTTTTTACTTCTTCTATTGCCTAGCTGTGCTTAAGACCCCAACTCTGATATAACCATTATATCGATCTGATACTGTGGTAATATTGGTATTTCTTGAATATAACAATCACTTACTAATGGCTTGAATTTGTACCATTAAGAAAGGATTATGGTTAGACGAGGAAAGAACTGAATAATTTCGGAGACCCAAAATCGTATAATGATATATTTAGGACGGACAAATAAAGAACATAATGAGCTAGAGGCCCGGCATGCTTCCAGTGCTCTTTACAATTTATCAAATCGTTAGAATCGTGGATATATACAGCATGTTTACTGAAAAATAAAGAACAGAATGGCAAGCTTCCAGTACTCTTTACGCTTGATCGGATCGTTTGTGAGTCTATTTATCATGCATGCTAGGGTTCTATAAATCGACTTTCGAATAATCGAACAATAGGCTTTTTGTCAAAAAGTCGAAGTCGAATATTTTGTTCCAAAAAAGTCGATAACTCGACTATCGTCTGTGAAAAAAGTCTACTTTGTAAATAAAAGTCAAAAAAAGTTGAAAAGTCGGGTAGTTGTAAAAAGTCGAAAAAAGTCAAAATGTCGAATAAAGTCGAAAAAAGTCGAAAAGTCGGAAAAAGTAAAAAAAAAGTCGGAAAAAGTCGAAAAGTCGGAAAAAGTAGAAAAAAGTCAAAATAGTCGAAAATTTTAAAAAAGTGGAAAAAATGTCAAAAACTCTAAAATAGTCGGAAAAACTCGAAAAAAGTAAAAAATAGTCGAAAAAAATCGAATAGTCGAAAAGCCGAAAAAAGTCGAAAAGAGTCGAAAAAAGTCGAAAAGTCGACTATGTATTTATAAAATACTTAAAATCGAAAAGTCTAAAAGTCGACTTTTAATTAAATGAAAAAGTCGAAAAATCGTAAAATGCAAAAAGTCGACTTTTAGCTAAATGCAAAAAGTCGAAAAGTCCACTTTTCGTTTCAACTATAGAACTCTAAAGCTTGCTAACAGATATAACGTTTTAAAGGTAAACACATTCAGATACTACTATAGCGGTGATCGGGACAATCCAATAAAGAAAGGAACGAACCAGAAGCTCCCAGCAAAGCATATCGTTAGATTCGTGGATCTATTTAGTACGCTTATTTCCAATAAAAAAAAAAACTCAAACATATTCTGAATACCACTGTTGTGGAGATCGGGGCAGAACATAATCATTATTTAATTAACAATGTGATGTTAGGAATTTTCTTTAAATTAAGGATCAGCGATGGCTTCCAAAGATCCCGAAACCCGAACTATTATAAAAAGCCAAAAGTCAGCACGAGTAAAAAATTTTTAAAAACACTTCGGTACTTAATAAGTTGAAAAATCATTGGCAGCCACCAAGAACCCAAATCAAAAAGTTTGTAAGCCCCATTATTTATTAAAAACAATGCAATTGGTACCACATAATGGATCCATTACGGAAAACCGAAGTGTAATTTATCGTATGAAAAATCTTGCCAACCAGCCAAAGCCGAATATCCATGGAGCTAAGGAAGGAAGTAGGAACCAAAGGGTTCCATCTATTACGAATACAATTTATTCGTTTGAATTGTGTATTGGTGAAAAAATTCCCGAAATATGTGACCAGACATAAAATAATGAAATAATCCATTAAAAACTATTTAGAAATGGAAAGTTTAGTTTCAACCGAATTACAGTACAGACTTAATTTCATCTGAGTACCTATATATCTCGATTTATACAGAACGCTCTTGCTAGAATAGACTTCAGAACAGGTTTACATAATTGGCTTGATTTATTATTGGCCTCAACTTTCACTTTATACCTGCTGATTTCCCAATTTTTTGTTTCTAAATAGCTTATTCCGAAATTTTCAATCTAAAGAGATTTTTTATGAAATTTCTCAGTATTAGTTTGTCATTAATATTACAACATTTTCATACAACATTGCTTTTTATTACAACATTTAAAATTCCTATTCTCCTAAATACTCTTTCTTACTTTACGAAATGCGAAGCTCGAAAAATATCATACACGTTCTTTTAACCCTCATGCCTATGAGCATTTTGATTATTCGTAAAAGCCGAACGTAATAATCATTTGTCTAATTTGTAAAGAGACGTCGAGAAAACGACGTCTTACCGCTGTATTGCCCAGTGTAGTGCTATTTGTATTACGATAACTACGAGAGCTACATGTTCTATAAAAGTTTTCAATATAAAATGATAATTTTTTATATAAAATTGAAAATTTTTTATGAAATAAAAATATATAGGACGGCACAATCGGAAAAAAACTTTTCTTAAAACTCACCTATTAGTAATCAATTGTTTAACCTTCTTTTTCATGACAACAACATGAAAATCAAAAAACCTTGTATGGCATTACAAATATCAGCCACATAAAAGATTTTCGACCAGGGCTTGTCAACGCCCACAAAATATGAGACGATTTCCAAAGACCAAGTAACACCCATGACCAAAATAAACGTAAAATAAACCGAATCTGAAAAGTTTGTCAGATAAAATTAAGAGATTTTTTAATAAAATTTTAAGTTTACAAATATACTTGTCTTTTTCATTTCTTAAGTTACGCGTACTATCCTCTCGAGCCATAATACGTGCCATTTCTCTTTGTACTTTATGGATTTTCATGGCTGTCATGATAAACATAATGATATTGGCCACAATTATGCCCATAATGGGAGCAAAGAAGTACACCAAACCTGACCAGGTTAACACTGAAAATATTTGGTTAATATTTTAGAAAACTTTTCATTAATTATATATGGTACTTACTATTGATCCAGCAATATTCACCCCCACCAATACCGGGCTTCCAGGCATAAGGTATATCCACACGTTCTTGCATAAACCAAGTACCTATTAGAAATATAATAGGTATGCCCCAAGAATATACCGAATACATGGCAAATCTTTTCTTCTCCTGAAAACGATTAATGCCTCTGGTGCCGCGGAAATTATGCCACAAATCAAAACTAATAACACTTAACCAAAAGAAGGCCGCCATAAAGAAATAATAGGCGGTATAACCTAGAAGTTTTAATAAAATTTTATATAAATTCCACCAATTATAATAGAAATACTTTACCTATAACTTTACAGGGCAAACCCATTACATCTATATACGCCGACCAGGCATTCAAACACAACATCGTATAGCCTACTATTAGACCAAATAAATAACAGACCAGTGATTTGCCATGCTGATTGCGCAATTCCGGTATGGCCAAATACACTAAAATGGTCAACATCATAAACGGTATGGAGAAGAGCATAGCGTATGCATTTATTATTTTCATTGTTCCATAACCGGGACTTAAATCACAATTGGCTGGATTTAAGTAGAAAGTAGAATTCGTATCATTACCCATAGTGGGTACCATACAATACTGCAATTTATCCAAATACGATTCATCATAGTGGCGGAAAATTGTGCCGTTCTAGGGGGGAGAAAATTTAAATAATGTTATTAAACTAGAAAACTTAGAGCGATATATTTCGGAAGTGAATCTTATATTGGAACTACGAGCAATTATGGTCCGATCCGGAAATAATATCTCAGAATGATTTGTTTATATATTCACGAATTATTTGTGTTTAATTGAATTACGGAGAAAGATTTTATATATGGAAGCTATTAACAATTATGGACTGTCCGGAAAATTTTCGATGAATAATTTTTATATGTACGGAACAAATTTATATTGAATTTTGTTCCGAAATTATTTTTGCTTAATTAATTTTCGGAATTCCAACTTAGTATTGAATATTTGGATCCCAAAGATATCTGGGGTCTACAGAAAATAGGTTTCGAAAAAACAAAAATCAGACGGACGACATAGCTTAATAGACTTCGCTATCTATAAGAAACCATGATATCGATATTTATACGAGCTAAAGGTGATTTTCAGCAAATGCTCAAGGGCTGTTAGAAATTTTACTCGAACCCCCGTTATTTAGAAACCGATTTATCTGATTTTAAATAAGAAACTTCACGAAAGCATGTCTGAATGAATTAATGAAGATTTGGATCCCAATGATAAGTGGGGTCGTCAGAAAATTGATATCAATAAACAGACAGATAGACACATGGTCATATCTTAATTGACTCTAACTATCTCTTATTTGTTAGCTCTTTATAGGGAATTAGGTCAACTAGGTAAGGACCGAACTCTCCGAAATTTGAGGAAGTGTATTATTTATTAGAAAAGATGATTTTTTAACAATTTATTGAAAATTTTCTATGAATAAGAGGACTATTTAGAGAAAAGGGTCAGTTATGGACGGATTCTCATTAAGTTTTCTAGACAGATTTTAGTTTTTTATAAAACTAGA